TGTAATATCGTATTTATCTGAATAAAGCCAAGTGCCGGGGGCCTAAGTGGTCACCTTAATATTAAAAAAAAAAATAATTAAAAATTTCTAATTTTATATATTAGCTATTTAATCATAGTATCAATAAAGTATAAAATTGTTTTATAATATATGCAATATTCAATAAATATTTAATAAATATTCGAATATTTACTCAAAATTTTTCAATGAATATTCGAATATTAAAAGTATTAAACAAATGAATATTTAAATACAAATTTTTTGACCAGATAAGACCTTTATAAAGGTGAGACCATGCTCTTATCTTTATTAGATTTAACAAAAACTTCTTACATAACCAAAAAGGGTTTTATATTTTAAATCTAAAACTAAGAAAAAGAACTCAGACATATATCTAAGTAAACCTAAATACTTATCTGTAGTCTAAACCTGCTATACTATTAATTATATATTAATATATATTTTAATTTAATATTTCAAAAAGTAGAATTTTAATCATCTACCAAATTCAAGCTATTTTTCAAACTCTAGTTCTTTTGTTACTAATGAATTAAATAATATAGATAATATAAATAAAACAAATTATAACTTATATATTAATAAATAAACAAATAAACTGATATTTTTTATTATATAAATTTAGCAATTCTCAGAAGTTATCCAATTAGGAAGTTGAAATAATAAAGAAACTGCAAAAAGAATAAAATATTGATTAGAAATTGAAGAATGCCTGGAAATAGCTCCAGATAGAGTTAATTATATCTACAATATAGCTAGAATAGATCTAGAAAAAGTATGTAAAATATTTGATCTTAAAAATATTCAATATTCTTACAAAGATAGTACAACTCAAGATAATATTTATTGTTCTTTTTTAAATACTAAAGTTTATAAAGAAACCTAATTATGTTGTGGTATTAAATTTTGTCAATTTATTTTACCTAAGCTTAAAAATACTTTATATAGTAGTTAACTTTGATAATAAATTATTTAAAAAGTATTTAAAACAAACAAACTATTAGTTAATACTGCTACTTTAAAGTAAGTTATTTTTTAATATAAATTTATAATTATAAATTATATATTATAATATTTTAATTAATTATTTTTTAGTGAATTTGTTGCTGCATATAAAGTTTCTTGTAAATATTATAATGATTTAGCACAGATACAATGTAATAAAAAGCCAATTTTAGCAAAATATTATCAAGTAATTATATTCTATTAAATATTTTTTGCTCAATTATAATTATAATATTATTAAATTATTTTTATAGTATGAAGAAGATACTTCATCACCATATTATTTTATTAGGTGTCAAAATTATAAATATGATAAAAAAAAAAATAGATACTTATTATTATTACAATGAACAAATATTAAGAAAATTACTAATTTACACCACAGGTGATAATCACCTGTAGCCAATTTGCCAATTAAAATTTAAGATTAGATGTAACATATAAATCAATTTTGTATAACAAAAATAAAAAATTTTTTTAAAAAAGGCTTATATCTCAAAATTTTGTCTACAAAACCATTTTTAAAGCTCTAATAAAAAAAATTCCTTGCTAAATTTTACTATATAAAAGACTCTAACCCTAATCTTAACTAACTCTAATCTTACCCCTACCCTAATTTTAAAGAGGCTAATTTTTTGTTTTAATAAAAATTATTTATTTTTTTTTTATGCTCACCTGTAGTGATTTTTAGTTATTTTCTATTTAATATTTACAATTATTATATATTATATTAACAAATATTTTTAGTCAGATGCTATTCAACATTATTATACTATACTTTCTTTTAGTACTAAACAAAAAAATATTATAAGTTAAATAATTTAATATAATATTATTATATTAATATTATTTAATATTATTTTTTATAATTTATAACATATTTATATATTACACCAAATAATTAAATTACTTATATTTCAAAAGGTAAAATCTTAAAATTTTTTAAATTTAAATTTAAAATTTTTATTAAAGAAATTATTTTATAGAAATATTAGAAACAAAGCCAGTATTTCAAAAGAAATAAAAATAAGTATTCTATTATAAAGACGAAAACTCAAATTGAAGTAATGAAAATTTTAAATAGTCTTGAAAAATGCAAAATTAAAACTATTAAAGGTTGTAATTATTATTATTGTTTTTTTAATAAATTTAAATACTAATATATTTTTTATTTAGATTGGGTTCAAGATAAAAAACAAACTTGGACTTTAGCTGCATTATCATCTGCATTTACCAAAATGTTATATAATATTTGGATTAACTCTCTATTTACAACTAATGCTAGTGAATCTGCACATGCAACAATTAATACAACAGGCCAAAATCTTTCATTAGTAGCTGCTATTCAATGGTATAATTCTTATTAATTTTTTATTATTTATTTAATAATTTTATTATTTTTATTAAATATATAAATATTTTATTTTTTAAATCTGCAAACTTTGATTCTCATCAATGAAATACTGTATTAACCTATAAAAAAACTAATGTACATGATTCATATCGTAATAAGTCTTCATTACAACGTAATTCAGTTAAACGAAACCGTAAGTATATTAATATTTTATAAATTATTTATATATATATTTAAATTTAATTTTGATCTTATATTTTAGAAAAACGAAGACAAAACAATCACATACAACTAAATCTACAAAAAAAGCTCGTTATAGTAAGGAAGCTGATTTTAAAGAAAGCTCTCATGAACAGGAACAACTATTGAATAAATTAACAATGCAAAAAAATTTGAATGATAAACTTGAAAGAGAAATTAGACTTCGTCAGCAACTTCAATTATTATACAATCCCGAAACTAATAATTAATTTTAATAATTTTATAGTATGCTTGCCAGAATAAATGCTTACAATTAGTTTTCTATCGATGTAATTATTTTATTGCAATAAAAGATATCAAGCTTTTTTCTTGCTAAAAGTTATTTAACTCGTATAAATAAGAAGATTCGCAATAAAAAATCTTTATTTTGTAAAGTTTTATTTATGGCATAAATATTTTCAAATAAATTTTTTTTCAAAAATTTTGTATGTATGATTGAACGAAAATTAAAGGTGTATGATTGTTTAAAATACAGTTCCGTACACCTTTTATTTATATATCTGCATATATTATATAATAAGAGGTGTACTGTACTGTAAAATAATAATAAAAAAAAATACAGTACGAATTTTCTTAACGTACAGTACGAAATTTCTATACTCCCCTTTTATCTTAGTATTGCCAAATAATGCCAGATAAATACTGTAAATAAAATAAAACATCATACAATAAAGTTCTAATTGTTTATGGTATTTATACTATTTTTGAGAAAGAATTTAGTAATCTATTTTTGAAACCCATAGGATCAATTCCTAATCCTTATAGGTTTCAATTCGCTGAATCTGTTAAAATTGTAAAAAATATTTCTGAAAGAC